GCTCAGTGCGTGTTCATGTAGATCGGCTGCAGTTCTGGAGCTCTGGAAACCGAAACTTCACGTCCCTTTTCAAAATCCTGAAGTGGGGGAGAAATGCAAAGATTTGGGGCACTTTGGAGGTCTGCCTATGCTAGAGCCCTAAAAGCTCGTGTCTGTGTAACGCCTGTTCCTACAGGGTTTGTCAGCTGCTGCCTGGACCAGGCTGTGAAAGGGAAGGGAAAGGCTGGTGTGACCCCAAAGCAGGGCAGTCCCCCTTGCTGCCCCCCAAAGCAAGGTGCAGCCCCTCCTTGCTGCAGGGCTGGGAGGAAGGATCACCCATGGGGTAACTTGCTGTGTGCCCCAGGAGCTGCCCCAGCCCCCTTTACCTGCCACTTGGCCGGGCTGTTCTCATAGTCATCCTCGGGGGAGCCGAGCTCCCACTCCCTGTTCATGTAGATGTTACTGGAAGCGGCTGCTCGGTCCCAGCTTGCAGTGACCTGGAGGGGACGAGGTGTGTTGAGGACAAGGGGGGCTCCAGGCAGTGGCTCCCTCATGGTGGAGCCATCACAAGACCCCCATCCCACCACCCTCCCACCCACAGTACCTGGAGGTCCTTGTCCCTCTTCCTCACCACAGCCTGGGCTGCTGAGGGAAGAGCAAGAGAAATGGCTCAGACCAACACAGAACTCCCTTTGCTGAAGGGGAGCATTTTGGGGGGTCTTGACCCCTTCCCCGTGGGTGCCCACATCGCCTTCTGTGCAACCTCAGGTCTTGCCTGACTTTGCCAAGAGCCCCCTGGACTGTGGGGCTCGGTGGTTTGGGGTCCTAGGAAGGGCTCCAACCCCTTTCACCTCAAGCCTTGCTCACCCCTGGGATGGGAGCGGGAGGGCAGCATGTGGTGTGCTGGGGTGGGGGGACGTGTTCTGGGGAGCAGCGCGGGGACCCCTGCAGCCACCCCACAGAGAACACAGCGTGGGCCCCCAGATCACTTGTACCTTTGCTCCTCTCCAGTGATGGTCTTCTCATCCTGCAGCAGATGATGATGCCCAAAACCAGCACAAGCACGGCGGAGGGTATCAGGACCAGGACAAGCAGGTTTGGGGGGCTAGGAGGGGAGAAAAGGGTGTAACTGCCCCTCTGCATTGCCCCCTCTGCAGCGCTGTGCCCTGGGGAGAGCTTTTGTGCCCATATTTAGCACAACCTAAGGGGCCATGAGACTCCACGGGCTGACAAAGAAGTTCCAAGGATTTTTCCCAGATTTCCTGGGCAGGGATCCATGCACATGTACACGCAATGTCTGGCCAACTTGCCGAGCACAGCTTTGTCCCCCACCTCCATGCCCAAGTGCCCAGACGCAGTACACGCCTGCGTGGGGTGTCAGGGTCCCCAGCAGCCCTGCGGGAGCTGGCCAAAGACCCTGGGAGCCCCAACCAGTGCAGCCCTGCAGCATACAGGGATAGAGCAGCCCCCTTAGCATCACATTTTGCTTTCTCCAGAGATGCCCTGCTGGCCCCAAAGCCCTGTGGGCAGGCTGGAGCTGAACCCTGCATCCTCGGGCTGCCTGGTCCTTGGGCTGGGGACGGTCCCTCTCCTCCCCGGTGGCCCTGGCACTCACCCAGCCTGCACAATTCTGACTTTCGGTGTGGACATGGCGTTTCCCAGCTCCAGGGGAGTCCATGGGAAGGTGGGAGCAGATGTAGCCTCTTCCCCCTGTGTTGTGTGGAGGTCGTAGTGTGTTGCTGTGGGCACTGTGGTGTAAACAGATGGGAAGCAAAGCGCCGTGGTGTGTGTTACCTGGTCTGTGGCTGTGGCTGAGGTTGGTGAGTGGGGGCTTCAGGTCCCAGAGGCTGCTGGCATGGAGGTGATGGGGGGTGGCTGGGAAGCACCAAGCATGGCCCCAGGGAGGCTGTGTGCACCGCGGGAGTGAGGAGGGGGATGCGGGGGGATCACCAAAGGCAACTGAGAGGGGGATTTCTTCCACCCCCAGCTCTCCCTGTTCTCCCTCCCGAGCCTCCCCTCTCTCCATTCCCTCCGCCCCTCCAGCCTCCCTCAAAGCAGAGCGACCATGTCAGGCACTTACCTGGGAGAATAGACACCATGACAGGGAACATGGGGTCATACCAGGCTACCTGGATCCCACACCAGTACTGATCCCCATCCTCCACTCTCAGGTCCTCCATGGTCACCACAAACACGTGCCGAGTGGGGTCATCCCACAGGGAGATCCTGTCTCCCGACACCTCATCCCCAGGGGCTGTGGTCTGAATGAGGATGGAGCAGGAAAACCAGCTGCTGCCCCTGC